CACAAGGACCATTCAAACTTCTAAGCGTAGAAAAACCTAGAATTACTGAAACTTTACACCTAATTCCGCGTTTTAGCAAGCATCCCATGGCTTTCGCCGCCTCGTCGACGAGCTGCCGATCCGCCTGCCATTTCTGATGTTCCACACTGATACGCATGGAAATGTGGAGCTGCTATGTGATCAGGTGAGGCTCGAAAGCATCCTGTAAACCCAGTTAAAGCTCGACTTTCTGACCGGCCGTCTATTGGCACGATTTTCCGGGCGGTATGAACACCTTGAAGACGCGCTGTTGATGGACACGGCCACCGCCGAAGAAGTGTTGCGGATAATTGGTGGGTGGAAAACAGAAAAAAGTAGCAAGAAGGAAGAAAGATGTTATTAGCGTACGTAGAATACGTTTGAAATGTCGTACTGCACCTTTGAAGGGACGCGCAAGGCAGGGATATAGAAAGTTATTGAGGCTTTTAATTTTATTTCAAGAGTTTAGCCGTTTAACCTAATCTAAATCAGCTTTTTCTAGGGTCTATCCCCACGTCAACCCCTAAAATGACAAACAAACGAACGAAGCCAATTACCACCCTTTTTCAGCGGCCCACGTCTCAACAATCGCCCATCTATGGCTAGACTGCAAACAAAACGGAGAGATGGCCAAAATATTAGTGGAAGCGAACGTCGGCCGAGAGAACGTCGCGCATAGGTAGGTTCTGGAACACAAAAATGAAAACAGGTGCTTTCGCATTATCGGGGGGGGGGGGCAGCATTTTTCTTTAAAGGGGCTCGGAAGTCATAATTCGCGTGTTCGGCGATTGAACCGACTGGTCAAAAACGAAAAGGCTGCCGCCGAAAAGTACCAGGAAAGTGATTTCGTTGCGAAAAAACGCAAAATATTTGCGAAAGCCTTGTAAGGCACCCAATCCCTCGATCTCGGTGATTCTCTGTTCAATTTTTATAATTAAAAAGTCTAAAATGATCAAAATTGCTTGAGGAGAGATTGCTGCCGCATCTGGCTATTTGCCAGGAATCAACGCAGGGGGCCGTGGACCAGATTTCGAAGCCCCTTTAAGACCCACTTTTCTAATCTAAATAGAGGAAGTCTTTCTGGAAGATTTTTTTACTATTCCTAAAGGCAAAAACTTTAGAATTTGTATGAAAAATACAGGAAAAAAATCGATTTTGGGACCAACTTTCAGAATTTGCAAAATTTTCCTCTTTTTTAGCTGGTGTTTCGCCTAGAAACCTAGCTAAATTTTACGGAAAATTCCATTTAAAAAAATCTCTATTAAGTTATTACATTTCTAGAATCGTAGAAACACCCCCCCCGATAATGCAAAAGAACCATATCAAAATCCAGACGATATAAAAAAAATTAAATGGCATGAAACACCCCGTTCAGAATCAGCATCGAGCAACTAACCGTCATTGGCAACACAGGAAGCGACGATTTTGATTGGGTAAATCCTACGGCTTTTCTATATTTAAATCTATTTGCTAGTATCGAAAATTGGTCCTGCTTTCCCGAAAGGATGCCAAAGCTCTGAGATTTCGACATGTTAGGTAATTTTCTAATCTAAGAAACAATAAAAAAAATTGTTTCAGAATCGCATCCGACGAGCAGGCGCACGCCTTTTGGCAGGCTGTCGGCCAGTGTCACAAGTTAGAACTGCTACAGGTAGTTCAACAAAGTCTGAATTTTCTACAATGTTATTTACAGTATGAACCCTGCAGAACCGACCATCTCTCTAGAGAATATATTGTGGAAGCCCTGGAAACGAAGCCGATAAAGTAAGAAAAACAAAAAAAATAGTTGAAACAAGTTTCTAGGAACCTAACCATTACAAATATCGATAATTTATCACCATCTGATCTGAGTATGATTGGCGCGAAGGGACGACTTCGAGAACTATCTGGTAAGCGATACTGAAAAAATGGTACTGGACTGTTAGCGGGGGGGGGGGCAGTAATCCAGTTAGGCAAATAAGTCATTTTTATAGCCCTTTACAAGTTTTGAGATATAAAACCCGCCTAACAAAATTATAAAACCTCATGAAAATCATTGGTTTTTGGGTCAAAAATGTATTAAACGTTACCAAAAAAAACTTAAAATGTTCAAATTTGCAGCATTCTATAGATTGCTATCAGGTATAGGCAAGGAAATTAGCTCCCCCGCTACAGACCAGTACCAAAAAATAATGAGGGCGTCCTTTTAGTTGTCGCCGATTCGATAAAACCGGAAGTTCTCACCCAAAAATGCCTCCACAAGACCGTCGCTAGCCTGAATACCCTATTGATACAGGTAATAAGAATAAACCATAACTAAATAAGGTTTAAACACTCAATAAAGACAGCGGTTTCAAGGTTGAAGCCGACTTCTCGATCGACAACACTAGCGACCGGGAAGCCATCTTTGCTTTATTGCGACTTTTACCGATCACGGCCACTCTCGAGGTTTTTGATGCTTCGAATATTTCACTCAAACTTTTTACTAGGTCGTACACGTCCCCGTGTCAACATCGCATGCTCACACTTCAACCGGTAATTTGGCGGCCAGGATCATTGGTTTTTGGCTGGCATTGGCTATGTAAGTCTTCCCATTTCACCTGGACCAGATTTTTTTCCTATGAAACAAGTGCTCGTTAGTAAGGCAAAAGTAAATATTTTAATGCTACTTGTCGAAAAATTAGTAATATCTAACTGTAAAGTGTTTTACTCAGGCTGGCGTTTTGGAATGGGACCAAGTCTATCTTGTTCAGAATTTTTTGCTGATTCCGAATCCGTTTTCCAAATTTGCTGACTTCACGTTGAAAAGTCATTTCATGTCTAAATTAAGCTTAAAAACGGCATAAATTCGGATGCTGGCCCACTATTCCCTGTATGAACCCCGGTATCCTTGTGCCCCTTATCTACCCTTCCGAAGCCTTCTTCCCAGTTGGCACCATGGTGCATTGGCAACGCGTTAGCTCGCCAAGCACGAGGCCGCGGTTCGAACCCCGCCCTGCACAATTTGTATTGCTTTTTGCACAAAAAACATAATTTTTGCATAAAATCGTGCTTTGATCTCTAAAACCGTTACCGACCCAGTTTTGACGTTGAAGCTGAAGACAACTTAAAAATAACGCAAAAATTAAGATTTTGGCGCTTTTTATAGCATAAATGTCAAATAAATTTTTAAATAAAAGTCGGCAGCAGATTTGGAAAGCAGATTCGGAATCAGCGGAAAATTCTGCACAAGATAGGCTTGGTCCCATCCCAAAACGCCAGCCTGAGTAAAAACACTTTAGAGTAAGGTGGAAAAACAATTTGGAAAAATTCGAAAAACCTTGATCTGTGCACTTTTGGTCGAAAAATTTATGTTATTTTGTAGTCGTATAAAAACTACTAAAACTAAAAAAAAACAGTATAGAAATATTTCCTCTGACTAAACTCGACAAAATGGCTTGAGACGCTGAGAATGAGCCTACGCCGAAAAAAAACGAAGGAAGAAAACCCTATAAACTTCGGCCTCTATATAACCATGATCATTACAGGGAAGCCGAGCGGACGATCAAGCTAAAAATTGATGGACTCGGCCAGGAATTGACGGACGCCGGCGCGGGAAGGGTTAGTTTTTCCTAGAAAATTGTTTTCCATTGGAAATGCCTTCGTTTATCCCAAACAAACTACAGGTACTACGAAAATGCCATGAAGTCACCCGTGGCCCCTACACACCCGATGGTCTCTGGCTACAAAGCGGGCTTGGCTCGCTGCTCGTCCTCGACCGCCACACCTGGTTTGGAGACGAGGATTTTGAGCTGTGCTGAGTCATTATCAAACTATTGCATGATTGACTAGTCGCGTGTTCGAATAAATATACTCAGAAAAGCTCAAAGCATGTTCAGATTTGTTTGCTTTCTATAATGAGGATCACTTTTTTCGGCTGATTTTTGACACGGAGGTCGAGAAACACATTTGTCAGTGATGCATTTTTTTTGTTTGGCGAAATGCCTTCATTTAACGATTTTACAACAAAAATAATGAAAAATCCTTAACATTTTGCTCAAAAAAAAGGTATGTCCGGAGGTTTTCAGGGTTTCAGAGGAGTTAGGCTCTGTTTTTTTGGAGGGTGAGTAGGTAACTGCAATTCTCCCGATACGATTTTTGGATTTTGCCAATTCCTTAAAATAAAGTTTTTATGAGCAATTTTCTAGAAGGTCCTTAATAAATAGGCCACAGCCCCGTGGTGTGTGGGCAATAACTCGAAGCCCATAGGGAATTTTGGGTTGTAATTTGGTCCACTTTATAATCGATGGTACTTATTAGGCGCAGCTTAGGTAAGGGTTGCTTAACGGGGAGGGGGCAAATAACGGGGGTGGAAACCATTTTTCTCCTATAGGGGCCTGTCGTGCCAATTCAAGTATGCCATCGGGTAGAGCGTCAAAAAATGTACTAAAAGATTTAATTTCAGCCCGAAATAATGTAATTTAAACTAGTTATTAAAGCAACAAAGCTATGGGCCCGCCATGACGTCATGACCATGTCATGACATGACCATATGGTATAGCCATAAGGTGACCGTAGTTCTCGGTATTTTTTTGGCTGTTTTAACGGGATTTCATAAATGCCATCGGATAGAGCATCAAAAATATACTTACTCGGGAAGTCCAAAATACCCGCTACACGGATCCAAAATCTTGTAAAATTTCTAGCGATTTTTGGCGTCAGGAAACAATTTCTTTACAGTAATTCGACTACGGCGAACATTTTGAGATACTCCACTTATCAATAGGACGAATGGCTGAAACGTTGCGGCTGGGGGGGTGGGGGTAAACTAGAGGTAGCCATGTAAATTTCTATAAAAATGGTCTATATTTTGTTACAGGGCCGAAGGGAATCACACGGACAAATTTGGCTCCCCCGCTAAAATCCCCACCCCCGGTAACAGTCCAGAACCGAAACCTTTTTGCTGTGAGCAGGCGACCGATTGTTTCACTCCCGTGTCTTTTAGAAAAAGTCCAATCAGTTTATCGGTGCCTAGGGTTGATGATCGAAAACACGTGGTAATCTCCATTGCAAGTATATGCGTACCGCTGCGGCCACCGGATCATCATCATTACTCCTGGAAACTTTGTGTGTTAGCTTTTATAGATTCTCAACGGACACAATATTTGTCTTGGAAGCCAAACCTGTGCTCTCATGCGTCAGATAGAGATGGTGGACTTCGAAGTCATCGGGAAAATTCTGCAAAGGAACACCATACTCGACCTGTCGAGATAAATTCCGACTCAAAGGGACGCTTTCAGCAACGCCGCTTTTCCATAAAACGTAGAAAAAATTGCATGGATTTCCGGTTAGCGAGCGCGCCTTGCTGAGAGGCGCAGACGTTTCGCATACAAAATTTTTCAAGATTCATGGAAAAACGGATTGATTTGAATAATAACATCTCTAAGCCAAACCTTGTCAATTTTGGAAACGTATCGGTCGTACATCTGGTTGACGTGAAAGCAATCCCACGAATCACCCATAAATCGTCCCCAGCCCATCCCTTTTAGCGCATCCTAAAAGTAGCAAATATCATGTAAAGTATCCAGCCGCCGCTGAACCGATTGACTGATGGAGTCTTTATCCCTTTGACTCGATTGGACCTACCACAATCTGTTGACAGTTCCACGGCTTCCCCGGGTAGTGATGCGTGAATATCGTCAGCATCTGGTCTGGCCGCAGTGATGACCCCATTTTCATCAATTCCTGAATAAACCATACATTGTTGCTTACCGATGGATCACCATTGGATTGTTTTTTGCCCGCCGATCGTTAGAAATCGTTTCGTTGCGCAAACTTGAATCCGGGGCGTTTAAAGATATACTCTTTTCTCGTTTTAAAATTCTGCTCTGCGGCCGCCCCCCGCTATCAGTCTAGTACCATAACGAACTGATGCACACGATGGACCGAGCCATCAGTCAAAAGAAACCTGTAGTGCTTTGAGCGTAGTATTGAGGTACCGGATCTCCCAGATGAGCACTCGTTCTGCCGAAGGGTTTCTCCATTGGTCGCGACGAAACTGGCGCTCCATCAATTCATCCTGACAATGGAGTAAACAGTACAGTATGGTTAGGGTTATACTGGTTATACTGGAGGAAATACGGTATATCAATCGAATGTCATCTCAGAAGTTCGATAATTTTAAGCTAGGAATTGTGCGGATTTTGGAAAGGCCGTGCCGGAAACCGCAAATCACAAAATTGCTACGCGCGTATCCTTTTCCTCTTTTTATTCGGGAGCCGGATTTTACGGGGCCCGGATTTTTCAGGATTCCGATTTTCGGACCTCCGAGTTTCGGGAAACCAATTTTCGGGAGTGTCACCGGAAATCCTTCTGATCGGTTAAAGCAGGAAAAATGCCTCATGTCACTTGCTGCAATAGTCTACCTTCGGAAAGAACTATGCAACGTGGACCTAAGACGACCGCAAAGCTGAAAAAGCGAGTCGCGGTTTATGAACCCTGGCCCCTCAATAATTAATGCACAGCATAAAAAGATTCGTGGTCGTACCTTATCTACAGATTCGTCGGCCATCCAGGGCATGTGATAAATCACCTGAAATTGAGAGATTATTGGGTGTCTCCAACTCGGCATCCGCCCGTCTTCTAACCGACCGACCTCAAAATCATGAACACACATTTTGACAGACAAAACGTGGTAAGCTTTAGTAGCTCACAGTAAAGTGTTTTTACGTCAGGCTCCAACTTTGAAATAAAATCAAGCCTATCCGGTGAAGAATTTGACGCTTATTCCGAATCTGGTTTCAAAAGTTGCGGATGGGCAATTTCTGGGGACTCACAAACTTTTCAAAATCTTTCTACAGAACCACTATCTTTTCAAAAGTTACAGCTTATTGTAGTGCTCTACAATGTAAAATACCCAAACTTCAATGTCCCACCGCCAGGAAAATGCCTTGGAATTGTTAGATAGCAGCTATGACTCAGAAAAATATCGGCTTTCGGATCGGGCGTCTTAAAGGAGCTCGAAAATCTGGTTCACGGCCCCCTGCGTTCATTCCTGGCAAATAGCCAGGTGTGACCGCAACACGACCGCGTCGCATGATTTTTTGCCCCTGTTTGGACGTGGAAACGCTTCATTTTAAAAATTCGGACGTTATTTCTGGAATCCTTCTCGAATGTTGATCATTCTAAACTTTTTAAAGGGATAGGGGCGGCATAATGCAATCGATTACGCGCGGGAAAGAAAATGTCTCTGCGCCTCCCCCCTGGGCGCGCTCTCTGCCCTGTTGGCTACTTGCCAATTTGTTGATGGGGGGATCGACAGATGCCGTCGGCAGCCCTTTAATGATGAAAATTGATCAGAAAATCGCTGATCGAGAGATTGCGTGCCATACAGAGCATTACGACATGTAATCGCCGCGCACTCAAAATGTTGTTTTCGCTCCGAGAATTTTACGTTTTTACTCAAATATTTTACGTTTTTTGCAAACCTTTTTTAGGGAATGTCGGAGGGACACGGGCCGAACAGCTAGCAGAAATCAAGGGTTGCATGAAATTTTCACCGGGACCATGGTGTACATTTAAGGGAAATCAAGTCTAGGCATAAGAGATGTAGCCTCTTTTAAAGGTACACTTCTGGAGCATCGCTTAAAAGCGGCCAGCAGCGTAGCGTTTTTTCGGTTACAGGGGAACGGAAAACGCCGGTAAAAAAGGGTCAGAGTCTAGGACCTCCCCCAACCCCAACTTTTTGACTATACGTCTTATTAATACCTGGAGTATCTCAACACGTTTGCCGCTGTCTAATCACTATAAAACGGTTGTTTCCCTGCGTAAAAAATTGCTAGCAAATTTTTTACAGGATCTTAAAATGTGAAAAGAGAAGTCGCTATGCCTCAATCTACTACAGACTTCAAACTAAAATATTTGATTTTTCGCCATTTTTTTGGATTCAAATGTACTGTAGCCTTATTCTACAGAACAGGAGCTACATTTTGGTACTATTGACAAGTCTAGAGGTCTAAGGAGCGCCGAGATACGAAAACTCACTTTGGACTAGGAAAAATCGATTCATGAAAAACCCAGAATTATAATTGTTATTAAAAATTTTCTAACAATTTTTAGCGTAAGGAAATAACTTTTGTATAGTAATTCGAGCACGGCGAAACGTCTTAGATACTCCACGCATTACCAGGTCGTATGGCCAAAAAGTTGCGGCTGGGTGAGGGGGTCCTAGAATTTAGCCTAAAAAAAAGAAATAAAAGGCGACTCCAAATAATCTTTTGATATACACCTCTTTGCCTCGTAGAACACAGGGAAGGCAGCGTAGCATTGCCAAGACGCATGGCTGGGCGACCGGGCATAGTTCTGGCAAACAACACAAGTGGATAGCTCGCAGCCCCTCCACAAAGTAACGCATCTGAATATGTTGACGACGTTGGAAAGGGTGACGGCCAGTTTGCCTAAACCCATTTCGCCTAAAAAACCCGTTTCGCCTAAATTTTTGAGGTTCTTTAGGATTCCGGGAGGACCAATTTTTTTCCTGGTGGTCACGGTTGACCTAGTAATCAATATCAAGTGTTTTCGAATTGTTTTTAGTAAGTTTTAACTATATTTAAAGCAGAATAAGTTTCAGAAAAATTAGAAAAATGTTTGAAAAAGTCGAAAATTTGGTCATTTTGGGTCTTCCCCCCCCCCCGCGAATCCTAAAGGTTCTATAGGATTGTTCAACCTAATTTTTATTTTTTTAAATTTTTTTTTGGTTAAAATGTGTGTAGTTTTTATGCTCAGGAATAGTTAAAAACAATTTAAAAACGCATCCGCAATTTATAAAAAAATCGACGACTACTTGACAGAATTGGCTGAAACTTTGTGACTAGGCCTAATTTGGGATGGGGATCATTTTTCTATTACATCGCGAAACACGAAAATCAGCAGAACCTAGTTAAATTGCATACCCAAGATAGTTTTTGCCGAATTTCAAGTTAACGGCGAGTCGGCCGCAAGCTGGAATTAGACTAGAAAGATGCGCAAAATTTTTCTGCATCGATTGATGTATCATTTAGGTGGCGGCCTGGTCGCCGTTTTCTCACAGCGCGCTTTTGTAGCTGAAAATCTGACTAAAACCTGACTCCAGAGGACCAAATTAAATGCTGTCCCTCCTCAAAAATTTCGGACAAGTGATTTTTCGCACAGGGTTTTGGTAATCAAATTTCAAAAATGTTGAAATATGGGTTGAAATTTTTTTTCAAAAACTGGATTTAGGCGAAGTGGGCGCAATTCTTTGCGCACGGATCGTTCATTGAATCACCTGTATCAGCGGAACTTTCTTGTACCGTTGCAGCGGCCAGTAATCCCCTGTTCCCTAAAATTGCCATAATCGCTATGCCTTTCTGACGAATGAGCAAACCTTTTTCAACCAATTGAACAGCTGCCATCCGTACGTTGACAATAAGTCAGGCTGAAACACAGCTTACGGTAAGAGTCTAGGAAACCCCCCCCCCCTACACCCAGCCGTAACCTTTCAGTCATACGTCCTATTAATGCATGGAGTATCTCAAAATGTTCACCGTGGTCGAATTACTATAGAAAAGTTGTTTCCTTACATCAAGCATTGTTAGAAAAATTTTTAAAAGGTTTTGAAAGGTGAAAATATCAAGTCACTATGCCTCAATGTACTACGCGTCTAAAACTCAATTATTTTCTTTTTTCGCTATTTTTGGTTCAAATGTACTGTAGCCTTATTCTACAGAGCAAGAGCTACATTTTGAGACTATTGACAGCTCTGTAGGACTAAAAATAGCCGAGATACGAAAACTCATTTTGGACCTGCAAAGATTAATTAAAGAAAACCCAGACTTATAATTGTTCTAACAATTTTTCTAACAATTTTTGATGTATGGAAACAACTTTTGTATGGTAATTCGACCACGGCGAACATTTTGAGATACTTCACGTATTAATAGGACGTATGGCCGAAAAATTGTGGCTGGGCGGGGTTTTCAAGACTTGAGCCCAGCTTAAGAATCAAGTCTTATAATCATCAGGTAAATTTACCTGAACAACTTTAGTTGCATCCGGAATCTTCGAGTAAATCCTATCTTATACAGGGGTGTCCCAATAAAAAGGTCACACTGGCATTGCGCCATTTGAAATCCGATCGACTTGAAATTTGGAACATAGGTGCGGAAGGGAATTTTTCATACATTTTTGAACGAAGAGTCAAGGATGGATTTTATTTCGTTATCGGATCGTACGGAATTACTTGGAAAATTAGTTTCCCACTAATATCCGCGCCACCCGCCCGCTAACAGTGCAGTACCGCTTCCGGGATTCGATCGCTTCTTTGAGTTGGGGCAAGCTCGCAGGGTTCCTTGCGGAAATCCGCATTTTGCATTTTCACCTCTTTTTTGTTGCAGCGTTAAAAGTATTTAGAAACGTAATCTGTAGTTTGCACGCGCGTCTTGTGTTTATTTTGAGTCGGAAGCTAGTCGGAAGTCGTGGACCACCCATAAAGGGATAGAAAGTCGAGGCTGTTTACGTCTTCAGCACGCCGTCAAGGGGGTAGAAGAGGTGTTGATCGGAGTATACATCATCATCAGGGGGACTACGACCCGAAAACAACCCCAAGTTCTGGACTGTTAGCGGGGGGGGGACCAAATTTTTCCAAGTAATCCAAGAAACCTTATATCATTTTGGAGTGTATATCTGTGTGTGTGCGTGGATGTCACTTTCGAGGCCCGATTTGCGGGCCTTCCCGTGTCCAAAAGGCCTCAATTCTCCGTTATTTGGGGCAATTGACCCTCCTCTTTCCGATGGCGTTTTCAGAATCCATATAAAATACAAGTTTACAAAGTTAAAGCCGGTTTTATTCATTTTTGGGGGTTCAGTACGGCTAATGTAAAAAAAATACAAATTTCCTCATTCTTGCCAGTTGCACGCGCATGTGTGGTCGGCAGAGGGGAGGGGTCCGAAGGACTCGAGTGATCGGAAGGTCAAATTTCTCATGGAAACACCGCATTCCAGCGCCCAAGGCCTGCGAAGCGGGTTTTGGGCGCTGGTATAAAATTATTTAACTGCCTGGCAGATCATATCTGGCAGAAGTAGCCACAAATTTTTGTAATGAACAGAATAAAGTCAAACGTGATTTTTTTGACTCTTGCGTGCAGCAAGAACGCACAATTTCTTAAGGAACGCAAAGACTACACAAGACATTTATGCCTACCGAAGTATACAGGGCACCGATGTTGATCTCGAGCTTCCGGACGGCATGGATCCGAAAAATGAATCGGGAAAAACGGCGCGAAATACCGTCGGCTCTTCATGCGGTAGCGTCTGAAAAGTGTTGTCTTAAATTGGTGAGTTCGTCTCAAGCTTTTGCGCTGTCAAGCATGTCGAAGGTTTTTTGCGATTGTTTTCCCATTACCTTAAATTTTGGCTGGCTTCGAGTATTATCGGAGTCAGGGGAAACCAAACTCTTTTGGCGGACCCTAGATTTTTATTGCACAAATAGAGAACGGGCTAGTCACTTGTTTCTCACCGTTCCTCGGCATAACAACTTTCAAATCTCGGTCAAAAAAATATATT